CAAGGGGAGGGGGCCGAGGGAGGTTAGCCGGGGGGGTGCTGGGGGAGGTTACCCGAGGGGAAGGCGGGGGGAGGGTAGCCAAGGGGGGTGGGCTGGGGGAGGTTATCTGAGGGGAAGGGGCTGGGGGAGCTTAGCCGAGGGGAAGGGGCTGGGGGAGGTTAGCAGAGGGGAGGGGGCTGGCAGCAGCAAACCCTGGGCCTCTGTCCCTCCCACCTGGCACAGAAGCGTCTCACGTTAAGATGTGTTGTCCGCACTGGGCTGCCTGGAGTCACCAGAGTAGAGATGGGCGGGGCAGGAAACATGGAAGCTTCTGGTGGGTGATGAGGGTGTTGCTGGGGCTGCTGGAGTGGAGATCCCCTACCCCGCCATCAGAGGGGGTTAGTGGAACAGGAGCCTCTAGTGTTCTAGGGAGGAGAGGGGACCTAGGAGTCCCCCAGAGGAGCAGGCGACACCGTGGAAGGACTCAGCACGGTGTCCAGGAGCCATGATGGGGTCAGGAGGGGATGATAGGGGCATCTGTTGGACAACTAGGTGGCCCCTGGTGATCTGGCAGAGATGGGACTGAGCCAGGGGTGGGCAAAGGTCTAAGGCTTGAGCAGCGGCTGGGGGCCAGGAGGAGACAGCAGAGTCTGAAGGGGCTGGTGAGTGGCTGGAAGGCCAGATTCAGGGTGGCCCAGGAGGGTGTGGCCTCGGCAGTTCCCGTCTTCAGTACCACCCCTGACCTGAGGACCTTGCGGCCTCTGTCACCCTGATGTGCTCCATCCCCTCTGAACCCTGGGAGGGAATGCACCTTTGTCATCCCCTTTTACAGATGGGGAGACCGAGGCAGAGCTCAGGAAGTGGTGTGCAGGGTCACAGCTCGTCAGGGGCAGGCCTGGGTTCTTCCTCTCGCCCTCCACAGGGTGTCTCACGGGAGTTGGCACAGCCACGGGCGTGGCTCAGGCCCCTGGCCTGGTGTCACCGACATGGCTCCTGTTTTCTCATCTTAATTGTTTGCTCCCTAATTTATTCCACCACTATCCCCACTAACACGATCTCTGTCTGGTTCCTGGATGAGTCCGTGCCTGGCTAGGAGGGGAGGAAGGGAGCAGGGTGGGTGATGGCTGGGTGGACAGACGGATGGGTGGACGGCAGGTGGGTGGACGCACAGAGAGCGAGGGAGGGAGGGAGGGGGTAGGGGCGGGCGGCGGTGGGTACAGGGCTGACCCTGCCCTTCCGCAGCTCCCTGCTGAGGACCGCCTTCCTCCTGCTGCTGCTCATCAGTGCCACCTGGCTGCTGGGGCTGCTGGCCGTGAACCGTGACGCTCTGAGCTTTCACTACCTCTTCGCTGTCTTCAGCGGCTTACAGGTAGGTGGTGCCGAGTTGCCTGGCCGGGCTGTGATTCGAGGTGGCGGAGGCCTGCCGTCGCAAAGCAGCCCTGCCTGGGCCCTGCGTGGGGTCCTCCTGGGTCTGCGAGGACTCAGCCCCTGTTCAGCCAGCGCAGGGGCCCGTGCCTCTTCCCCACGGTGTTTGGCGACGATGGCCCCAGGGCCAGGCTGGCGTCTCCAGGGAGCAGAAATGGCCATTTCTGGGCCACTGCTGCCTAAAAATGGTCACTTCTAGAAATGACCACTTCAAGGGTTGCCTAGCAGGTGGCCTTACGACACAGTGGGGGCCCCAGAGAGCCCTGAGGACTGTGGGAGGCGCGCCCAGAAGACTGGCCCGAGCCACCGGGGCCTGGTGCAGGCCTCTTGGTTTCTGAGCTTCCCCACCTGCCCCCCAGAAAGCGGCAGTCCCTGAGCATGGGAGGCCGGGCATGTCCTGGGCCCCGAGGCCGAGGGTGTGGTGTGAGCCCCGCTCTGCTGTGCTGGGGCGCCTAAGGGCAGGCGAACTCCTGGGGAGGCAGCACCAGGGCTGAAGCCGCCGTCCTCCCTCCAGGGCCCCTTCGTCCTCCTCTTCCACTGCGTGCTCAGCCAGGAGGTCCGGAAGCACCTGAAGGGCGTGCTCAGCGGGAGGAAGCTGCACCTGGAGGACTCCGCCACTACCAGGGCCATGCTGCTGACGGTACGAGGCACCGGGGACATGGAGGGCCTGGGAGCTGGGCGGCACTGAGAGCAGTGGGGGGCTCGGCGGGAGGAGGATGGAGCGTCAGCCGCAGCCCTGCGGTCTGTGCGACCTCATGGGGGATGGCAGAGCCGCCCACGGAGCACAGTGTGGCTGCTGGGGACAGAACCAGAAAGTGATAGAATCGGCCGGACAGGGCCTTGGTCGCGTCCTAGCCCAGCTTCTCCAGGTCTTAGAAAGAGGGGGCCAGGACCACCGAGGATGCTGACCAGAAGCAGTGGCCGTAGGGAGGGAGGGCGGCAGTGTGGGCCGGGATGCGCTTCCCTCAGCTGCTGGAGGCTGTTGTTCGCAGGGAGGGTTGACTGCTCAGGGCCAGCCCCCCGCTCTGTGTGCCCGGCAGGGGCCCAGCCAGGGTGTGGGTGAGGAGCACTTGCCGTGGGGACAGAGCCATCCCCGGCGGTGGTCATGTGGTGGCCTCCACCTGGCAGTGACCAGCCCCTCCCCTCCCGTCCCCTCCCCCAGCGCTCCCTCAACTGCAACACCACCTTCGGTGACGGGCCGGACATGCTGCGCACGGCCCTGGGCGAGTCCACCGCCTCGCTGGACAGCACCATCAGGTCAGGCTCCTGCTCCAGGTCGGGGGACGTGGCTCTCGAGCCCCCTTGGGCTTTGCCCCCGCCGCCCCCACCTGTGTCCTGCCATTCAACTGATACCTCCTTCCCCCCAGAACGTGCCCCCCACCTTTCCCCTGACCTTTTCCCCAGACCTTCACCCCAGACCTTTGCCCCCTGCCTTCTCCCCCACCTTCCCCCCCACCTTTTCCCTCCCACCTTTCCCCCCATTCTCTCCCCCACGTTTTCCCCCCAGACTCAGGAAGCTGTTTTGATGGGAACACAGAAGGGTAGGGGTAGAGAATCTTCCAGAGAACTTTCTAGCATTTCCTGTCCCACCCTCCCTGGCCTCTCTAGGGATGAAGGGGTCCAGAAGCTCAGCATGTCCTCTGGGCAGGCACGGGGCAGCCACGGAGAGCCAGACTCGTCCTTCTTGCCTAAAGGCTCCAAAGACCCCTCTGGTATGGCTTCCTTGCGGGGGGAGGACCCCGAGGGCTGTTTGTCCCACGTCCCTTCAGTCACTGGACTCTGCCCCTGGAGACGTGCTAGCAGCCTCACCATGCTCAGCAGAGACCTGGCCCTTGGTGGGACCCCCTCACCTTCTGGGGCCTGAACCTCCCTGTCCCCCGCCCGTCCACAGGCCACGATTCTGACTCGGACAGTGAGCTGTCCCTGGATGAGCAGAGCAGCTCTTACGCCTCCTCACACTCGTCAGACAGCGAGGACGACGGGGTGGGGGCTGAGGAAAAATGGGACCCGGCCAGGGGCGCCATCCACAGCACCCCCAAAGGCGAGTGCATGGGGCACAGTGGACCAGCTAGGCTACGGACAGCAGGTTCCAGGCAGGCCTTGGCTGTGGCTGGGTCCCTGCCTCCCAGGACATGCCCAGCAGCACCGCTGTCACATGGAAGGACTGCCTGGGTTTGGGAAACTCTGGCTGGGCTCCCCCACAGCCTCTGGAGTGCTCCCCGTGCCAAATCCCCAAGCAGAGGCAGGAAATCTGGGGGGTGGTTCTGTGGGCCATCACTGCAAGGGCCAGGTCAGGTTGTGGGGGTGGGAGGGCAGCCATGTGTAGTTACCGGGACAGATACAGCAGGGGGTGGGGGCCAGCCCAGTGACAGCCCTGCTGCCAGGACTCTCCCTCCTGGGCCTCGGTTTCCCCGCCTTTAGGGTTCAGCCCTGCCAGGCCTGCAGGTCTGGGAGAGGCAGGCCAGAGCCCCCCCAGGACCCACCAGACCTGTGGCGCTCAGGGGCACAGCTTGAGTGGCAGTGCCACTGCCTGCTGAGTGCCACCCTCGTGCCTCAGGGGATGCCGTGGTCAACCACGTCCCGGCCATCTGGCCTAACCAGAGCCTAGGCGGCAGTGACAGTGAGGATCCTGAGGATCCCGGCAGCCAGCCCCGCCTGAAGGTGGAGACCAAGGTCAGCGTGGAACTGCACCTCGAGGAGCAGGGCGGTCACTGTGGCGAGAGCCCCCCAGACCGGGAGAGCGGGGGCACGGTCAGGCCTGCCAGCAGCCAGCCCCCGGAGCAGAGGAAAGGTGCCTGGGAAGGCCGGGGCTGCAGCGGGGAGGCTGGAGGACCCAGAAGGGCCAGTCCCTGGTCCGGAGGGTGGGGGTGGGGCTGGTGGGGCAGGTGGGGCAGGTCAGGGCCTGGGCGGGACAGAGGTGGCCCTCCGGCCTAGCCCTGGGAACTGGGGAACCAGCAGGAAATACAGAGGCTGAGGCTGGCTCTAAGGCACGCGGCTCCGCAGCTGCCCCGGCAGCATCACCCGGACGTGACCTTGCCCCATCTCCTCCTTCCAGGCATCTTGAAAAATAAAGTCACTTACCCACCGCCACTGACGCTGACGGAGCAGATGCTGAAGGGCCGGCTCCGGGAGAAGCTGGCGCACTGTGAGCAGAGCCCCGCGTCCTCGCGCACATCCTCCCTGGGCTCTGGGGCCCCGGATGGCGCCATCACGGTCAAGAATCCCGGGAGGGAGCCGGGGCGTGAGCACCTCAATGGGGCAGCCATGAACGTGCGCACCGGGAGCACCCAGGCCGACGGCTCTGACTCCGAGTGAGTAGCCTGGGCCTCCGGGGCGGGGGGCCACCCACCTCCCCCTTGTCCTGGGTCAGGAGAGAGAGGGGACAGTGGTCAGGGACCTGGCACCCACCTCACCTGCAGCCCTGACTGCTGAGGGAGCCCAGGCAGCGATGGGGGGGGCAGTGCAGCTGAGGTCAGGAGGATCCCCTGGAGATGGGCAGACCCCCTATCCTGGGGGCACATCCCAGGCCTCTGGGACTCTGAAGCCCCAGCCAGGATTCTAAGGTGGGGGGCTTTGCATTTGATCAGCACTGTCCCCAACCGGGACCACTGGGACCCACCTTGTGGTTGAGGATACGGAGGCTCCCAGAATCCCCGGGTGAAGGGGGCAGGATGGAGCTGGGATTCTGGCCCCAGACCTCTCCCTGTCGCTCCTCCCTCCCTCCAGACTCTTAAGGGAGAAGCCAGGTCTTTAGAACATCCCTACCAAAGGGTTTCTCACGTGAATTCCTCGTGCTCTGCTCAGACCAGCAGCACAGAGGCCCATGGCTGGTCCTGGTCCCCTCTCCTGCCTCCCGAGGGTAGCCACATCCAACATGAGCTTGCCCTCCCTGGATCCCCCAGACGCCCCTTCTCCCCTGATAGGGGGGTCCTGCCCCTGTGTGACCTTGGACCCCACCCAGCCGCTACCCTCACTGACCCCTCACCTACTTGATGGCTTCTTCCCACGCGCAGAGGCAGTAATGAAACTTCAATTTGAACCATCAGGAAACCCTGAGGCAAGCCCATCACCCCCACACAGGCTGCCGCGTCGCCGAGCCCTCGGACCTTGGAGCCCGAGGGGCCACTGCCTTTGGAGTGAAGTGGGCCCTGAGTGTGGTGGTCCCCACGGTGACAGCCCCCCAACTGATCATCCACACACAAAGGTCTTGGCCCTCCCAGGAGCTCAGGGTCTGTCAGACCTGGTAACAAGTGCCAAAGGCCACAGGCATGAGGGGGGCGCGGACCACCAGGCCAGCACCGCTGGGTCCTAAGACTGCAGACAGAGCCAAAACGGTGAGCGGGGCCCCAGACCAGGCCCAAAGGCTGCCCAGAGTTCAGGGACATTGGGCAGAGACCAAAGACTGTGGTCCAGCGCCGCCCGTGCAGACATCTCACGGCAGTGCAGGGCCGTGGCTGGCAGCCCTTTGCAAAGACACTGCTTGTCTTAAAGTTGCTTTGCAAATGTGGAGAAGGTGTAGATGCTTTTATACGTTTGTACGGGACTCTGAGGAGGTGAAACCTGTGTATATTTTGCAGTTGTGCTGACTTTGTTGATCCCGGGAGATCCATGGAATGATCTCTTGCTGTCTTCTCTGTAAAGAAGATTGCACAGTTGTACTTGAATCTGGCATGGGTTGACAAAACTGTCGCCCCAGCGGATCAAAGGTGGACAATACGTTGGCAGTGGGGCTAAAACCAAGCGGTTAGAAGCCCTACAGCTGCCTTTGGCCGGACAGCGAGGATGGCGTGGGCCCTCCCCACGGGCCCCCTGGGTCCGCGCTGTGTTCGCCATGCGTGTGTTCGCCCTCTGCTGCCGTCTGTCCCAGCTGTGTGAATTCTAGACGGGGCAGTCTGGGACTAGACAGGTGTGAGGAGCCCTGCTGAGGTCACGGTGGGGCACGGTTGCCACACAGCTGTCATTTTCCACCTGGTCGTTCCCTGACCACCACCGTCTCCCCTCACCCCCTCCCAGGTGGCCCGGGAGCTGCAGGTGGGGGTGGCTTTGCCCTTTACTGCTGCTCCCAGTGGGACCTGCGACCTTAAAGTGTTGCAGGCTCCTGATTTGGGCAGAGGCGTGTGGTCTTCCAGGCTGTTCCGTCCCTCCTGCCAATCTTCTAGCTCCTTGAGACTTGGAGGATCTCCAGGCAGGCAGGGGTCCCAACCCCTGAAGTCTGACCAATTACTTCATTTTGCTTCAAATGGCCAATTGTGCAGAAGGACAAAGCCACAGTCACACTCTTCAGCGGTTACCAAACTGTTTTTGGAAATTCACATCAGGGACGGGCCCACTGCAGGCAGTTGACACAGCGTGGCCCGAGGGGCTGTGGAACAGGGCCCAGGACTACTCAGACACGGTTGGTTTTAGCGTTTCCTTTGTTCTTCAAATCAGGTGCCCACATCAGTGATCCGCACAGCTGCTTCCTAATAGAAAGCATAAAGTAGGGTGAAAATCAAGTGAAAGGCAGAGATGTCCACACTCAGTTTTAAACTTTACCCTGATGAAAATGTGAGCACTGTCAGCAGGTGCCTGTGTGCGAGAGGAAGAGCAGAGCTGAAAACGGTCCAGGACAGGAGGAGGAAATGAGCCCACAGCCCTCACACCTGAGTGAGTTATGTGCCTCACCAGGTGAGCGGTCTTCCGAAGATACAAAAGTCTGCTCCCTTTGGACGTTTGCCCCTGACAAGTACGGAAAGGCTTTTAAGTCTTCCGGCAGTCCACTTTCACCGTAACGGGGTCCGCCCCGAGCTGTAATTTTTTTGTCTGTTCTATTTTATTTTTTTCACATACTCCACAGCCAGCATCATGAGGTGTAATTTTTAATTTGATCGGAACTGTTACCAAAAAACAACTGTCAGTTTGAGACAGGAGAAACGGAAACCTATTTTTATTACTTAAGACTTTATGGGAGAGATGAGACACTGGACGGTTTTAACAGATGTGTATTTATTAATGTCCAAAACACTGGAATTTCAAATGAGAAGAGTCTACAATAAATTAAGATTTTTGAATTTGTACATCTGCGGTGCTGGTGTTTCTCCATACACACACCTGCCCCTCCCTGCACCCCAGGTGGCTGTGGAAGGGACGGTTGACGGACGTGCCACTGAGCTGTCCATGTCCCATGCTCCGCTGGCCAGTGGAACCTTGAGTCCAGACTTTGTCCATTCCCTGGCTGGCCTGCCGCAGCCTCAATGGGCGGTCCTTCTTTGGCATTTCCTGAGATTCTTGAATCTGTGAATGCATGTCTTTCACCAAATTTCGGGAGGTTTTGCCATTACTTCTTCAGTTTTCTTGTCTTTCACTGATCTTTCTCCTCTCCTTTTGTGACGCCAGCTACTCAGATGTCAGATCTTGTGATGTTTTCCCACTGGTCCCTGAGGCTTCATTCTTTTTTCTAACTGTTCTTCAGATTTGATTATTTCTGGTGCTCCATCTTCAAGTTCACTGATGTTTTTCCTCTGTCATCTTAATTTTGCTGCTAAACTCACCCAGTGAATTTTTTATTTCAAACTCTGAAGTTTTTAAATTTCCACTTGGTTCCTTTGTATTTCTCTGCTGGGCACATCTAGTTTTCCATTAATTCCAAGAGTGTTCACCTTTACTTCATGAAGCATGGTTCTAACTAGGGCCACCGTGACTTCTGGGATCATTTCAACGTTTGAATGTCTTGGGGCTGAAATGTCTATTTGCATTTTCCCGGTTCTTTGTGTGCTGAGTGGCTACAGGTTGAATCCTCACCTGTCACGTGGAGTGTTAGACTCTGGGTTGCTGACACCCTTGTTCTAACTGTCATTTCATCTGTTTCAGCAGCAGGCAACCTGGTTAGGTCCTGACCCCTGGCTCTGTCTCCTTCCATGAGCTGCAGGTCCACCACCAGGCCGGCCCTAGAACTCGGCTGTTCTGGGTCGTTGCCTGCACTCACAGGTGGGGTGAGCAGGGACATATGTCAGCACGTGCAGAGGATTTGGGAGTCTGCTTCTCCAGCCCTCTCCTTGCTGGGATTTGCCTTGCATTTTCTCACTCCTGGGGTCTCTTCTCTTGGTTTCTCCGTCCAGTAAGATGGGTTTCTCCAGAGCTCTAGCCACCTGCACTGCCTCAAGCTTCCACCCAGCAGGGCCCACCCTTAGGGAAAAGTAGTGACAGCAAAGAGAAAAATGGGAACCCCAACACTCTCCAGCCCACAGCACCCCCATTTCCCCAGGCCTCTCTAAAGTCCTTGTCCCGGTGCTGGCTGCATAGCACCACAGATTCGGGACACCTCCGGGTCAAATCTGAGAAAAGTGAAGAAAACCGCGAACACACCAATGCCTCGGGTCATTTTTTCAGGTTTTGCCTTCTCCGCGGTTCACCTGCTAATATTTACATCCCAGAATGCTCAGTGGCTAATGTGATAGAATATTTCTACCTCAACCCCAAAGCCATGATTTACAGGAAACTATCAGAAACATTTGAGAAAGAGAAAGTAGTCCAAGCCGCCCGGAGCCCGCCTGCCCATCAGCCAGGTCAAGATGTCCAGCTGAGGACCATCCAGTGCTCTGCAGTGCGTCCAGAGAGCATCGGCAGCAGACCGTGGTGGGTGCTCGAGGGCAGAACAAGCCCCTCTGTGATCACGTTTCAACAGACAGCAGCAGAAACACTGTCCAAGCCACGGGACGTCCAGACTCCCCCAGCCCAGGTAAGGGGTGACTACAGCCACTTTAATCACAGCGTTTTAGCCTTGCCCTGGGCTCCCCACCCTGGAGGCAAGGCTTGTTAAGACCCCCAAGGAGGGTCAGGCACAGTGGTTCATGTCTGTAATCATAACTTTGGCTGGCTGAGGGAGGAGTTCAAGACCAGACTGAGCAACACAGCAGGACCCCATCCCTATAATTTTTTTAAATTAGCTGGGGGCCATCTCTACAAACAATTTTTATTTGGAGACAGTCTTGCTCTGTCGCCCAGGCTGGAGTGCAGTGGTGCAATCTCGGCTCACTGCAATCTCCACCTCCTGGGTTCAAGCAATTCTACTTCCTCAGCCTCCTGAGTAGCTGGGACTATAGGCACATGCCACCACACCCAGCTAATTTTTTTGTGTGTGTTTTAGTAGAGACGCCGTTTCACTGTGTTGCCCAGGCTGTTCTCGACCTCCTGAGCTCAGGCAGTCCACCCGCCTCAGCCTCTGAAAGTGCTGGAATTACAGGCATGAGCCACTCTGCCCGGCCTTTACAATTTTTAGAAATTAGCTGCTAAAAATTAGCACAGGGGCTCATGCCTGTAGTGTTTTGGGAGGCTGAGGCAAGATCGCTTGAGGCCAGGAGTTCAAGACCAGCCTGGGCAACATAGCAAGACTGTTTCTAAAAAAAATTTGAAATTAGCTGGGTGTGGGAGTATATGCCTGTTGTCCCAGGTACTTAGGAGGCTGAGGCAGGAGGATTGCTTGGGCCCAGGAGGTCAAGGCTGCAGTGAGCTGTGCTCACACCACTGCACTCCAGCCTGGGTAACAAAGCAAGATCCTGTCTCTTGAAAAAAAAAAAAAAGACTCCCCAAGAAGGAAAGGGCTTGGGCCAGGCAAGGCTCTGGCATGGGGCAGCATGGGAGCCAGGGACTGGGCTGAAGGCAGGCTCAGGGTGTTTGACTCCATCCTGGGACCTGCGTCTCACTGAGATTATCCTGGAAACAACATAGGGGGACAGAAGAGCGAGGGCTTTGCTTTCATTTGTGTTATGAGCGGGGAGTAGGGAGGTATGAGCATCCAGCTCTTGGCCCGGAAGATGTTTTTCTTCCTTTCCCTCCCCTTCTGTCTTCATGGATAGGGTGGCAAGTGGCTAAGGCCGGGCCACGGGGGGTACCCACACAGGCAGGAGGGGCTACCTGCCTGCCTGTGCTCCTGGGGCACCCCAAGTCTTCAAAAGGTCATCTGAGGGACACAGCTTCTGGAGTGTGCCAGCCTTGGGTGCTGGGGAGGGTAGGAAAGAGGCCAGGAGAGCAGCCCAGACCTTCGGCCCTCTGACCCCCCAGCCAACAGCTTCTGCTGAATTTGAGAGGTTGCGCCGAAGCCCTCCAGAGCTGGCCGGTGGCCTTGTGGGGGATGAGCAGGCAGTTGTGCCTTCTGCAGAGAGGGGAGCCCTGCCAGCCAGGAGAAGCTGTCGCCAGTGGAGCCTGGGGCCCAAGGGGCAGAGGCAGGTTTGTGTGCCCACTTCCTCCACTGGCCAATACACAGGCCCTGGGGCTGGCAGGACAGCGGAGCCCACTGTTGGTCATGGAGGGCAGCCTCACCTGTGCTGACCTGGTGCCCACGCAACCTTCTGCATGGCCACCCCACCTCCCTCTTGCCCATGTTCCTGTGACCTGGGAGGGCTGGCCTAGGCAGAGCAGTGAGCACCGAGGGGCTCTCCCACCCTCAGTTCTCAGGCTGGAGGCCCAGCCACAGCCGTAAATCAGGGGAAACCTGAGCCCAGGGAGGCTCAGTGCTGGGCTGAGCCAGCAGAACAAAGGTGGCACTTCAGCTGGGCCGAGGATCCCCAAGGGCCTGTCTGGTCCCACCAGCCAGTGCTCTGCCTGCCTGGTGGAGCTGCCCACCCCCCGCAAGAGCCGTCTCCAGCAAGGGCTGCTGCAGTTCCACCCCAAGCCCCATTTCCTCACCTGGAGCACGACAGGTCTCAGAAGCTGCCTTCGGGTTCTGGCCCACTCCTCACCCTCAGGAGGCTCCCAGGTGTATGGGGCTAGGCTACAAGGCAGGCTGCCCCAGGTCAGGGGATACCCAGTGGGGAGACAGGAGAGGTCAGGGTAGACGCTAGGCCCATGACAGTCCCCATCCGGAGGCACCAGCAAGAACTTGAGGCATCTGGGCAAGGCTCTCTGGGTACCATCCAGCTCTCCAGACCACAAAGAGAAGGAAACCCCACCTGCTCGGGCCACCACCTGAGGTGTCAACTTGTTCCACGGCACCTGTCTGCCTTTCCCTGAGCTTCCTTAATACAATTCTTCCCGCCATCTGCCATCCTCCTCTAAACCCCTAGAGCCTCCCTGCCCTACCCGCTCCCTTCCTGTGTTCTGGACAGCAGCGGCCAGTCTGCTCTGCAGGTGTACACTGGGTCACACTGCTCCTGTCTCTTAGCCATGTTCAAAAGGAAGCCCACTCCCCCCTACAGCTCCTAGGCCTTTCATGCTCCGGGGCCAGAGGGCCTGGTCTACTCCCAGCACCCCGAAGTGGACTAAGGGACTGAGGCCAGGCTGAGATACCAGGGTGCATGCATGGGTGTGCTCATCCAGATGTGCCTCCAGCCGTAGGCTCTGCACACGGGCCCCATGAGGCAGGTGCCCACTCAGCTGCCTGTCCTTTCTGGACCAGCTGCCGGGCTGGGGAGCTGCCAGAGAGCTCTGACCCTGGGGTGGCCCTGCTGCCACCAGCAGTCCCAGTGGTACTGGAACTCTAAGGGGCAAGGATCCTGGGGTGGGGGGATGGGAGAGGACCTCTCTCTGATCCATTGCATGTCAGAGGGTGGGGCCCTGTCTGTCTGTTTCCCTGTGGGTGCTCACTGTGGGCTGAAGGGACGTGCTGCCTCTGGAACCTTCTCCCCCAGAGAAGGGCAGTACACCTCTGGTCCCAGCAGGAACATTCTTGAAGCACCAGTGACCACCAAGGCTCCCGCCCAGCAAGAGGCAGGAGCTGAGGACACCGGTCCGCATCCCGGACACGAGCTCTGCGGTCTAGGAGGAGGGGCCCTTACCCTCAAGGCAGAGCAGCAGGGATCCCAAGGCAGTGGATGGGGCGGCTCAGACCTCAGTTGCTGTGGCTGCTCCTGCAGTCCACCTGCCTTTCCACACGAGGGCCCCCGTGAAGGCAGCGGCCAGACTCTGTGTCCTTGAAAGAATGTTTATTCCACGCCGTCCCTGCATCCCCTCCATAGGGTTCCCTCATTGTGCTGAGGTGGGAAGCTCTCCCGGGGGAGGCAAAAGGGAACTCAGGCCACCCCACCAGCCAGCAGATGCTCTGGCAGCCGGAGCTCCAGCCTGGAGGCGAGGCTCTTTCTGG